GAAGAAATCAAGAAAGTTTAATAAAAAATATGATGTGTACATTACATGACTTCCTTCTAGGGAACATTAAATTATATGCACTTTTTCATGCATTTCATTTAAACTTATTGGATTGAGTTAATCTACTTTGTTGATAGCGCATAAACCGCAATAGAATAAATGCACTCTTTAAAATTCACTATAATTTTTTACCATAGCGACACTCTGGCGCTAGGTTCACTTAACAGCGTTACATTTCATTCATTTTATAACTATTTAAAACCAAGATAAATACTGGTTCATCGCGCGAAGCGCGACGTTAACAGTTCCTCATTTCATTTTATAACTCAGAATGCACAAAATTTATATCATCTGAAGAATTATCTAATCGTTGCCACATGTTCTATTCAAATACTATAATACTTGTAAATCTAAAACGATGTATAAAAGAAATTAAACAAGAAAAAAGAAAAAAAAAAAGAAACAGTTTTTCACAGACGATTCAGTATTTCTCATTTAATTAATTCAGTTCTCACTTCGCGACAACGCAAAAATACATAAACACTCAAAATATCTATATTACGAATTACGAAGTAAATCTTAAACACTTATTTCACTGAATAAATTCCAGAATGGATTAAGCGTGATTTAATTCGCAATAATAAGCTGGCGTTACATTTTTTGTTGAGAAGTTTAGTTTCTCTAGACTGGCAACAAACCCACTATTCTGCTAAGTTTGAAATGTAAACAAACATAGCCGCCATAGTAGAAACAATTAGGCTTAGCCGCACTTAAACAACTTTTAAATTGTTCACAATTTTACAAATATTGCATGCAGATTTACTAAAGGCATAGAAACCTTAACCAGAAGCTAAGAACAACATAATTCAGTCATTTATAAAGAAAAAAATGCGCAATTTACCAACGTTTAGGAATACAAAATATGAACTTACTGAGCCGCCGAGTAACAGAGTGTGTGTGTGTGTGTGTATGTATATATACATATATATACTTTTGGTGCGGCCGATTGCAACCAAAAAGGGAGGTGCACAAACAAATATTATAGCTGTCTTATACACAGATTTTTAACTTTCTGAGGTTACTCGTTTTTGAGTTATGTTAAATCGCAACATTTCAGAATTTTTTTAACTTTTTATTTGTTTTTTTCTTCCTTGTCGCACAGACGTCTTGTACGCACAGACGTCTGTACGTACGTACGCACAGACGCCACGAAAAATACTGTTTAGAATTCATTTTAAATCAGTTTTATGGTTTTTGGGGGAAGAAAGAGTCCCTTATTCTGTCCGTACGTATAACATAACATAACAATAGGGGCGCTTCCTTCTTATGAAAAGAAGGAAAAGAGTTTAGGCAAAATTGCCCATTACTCTTCCGCCATTTGATCATTTAAATCAAGGGATTTAAATGGTAACTCCCGTAAAAGGTAAGTAATAAATAGATAAGATCTCAAACTGACACCCAATCTATAGTATCAGCAAAAGATCCCATCTCTAAGTTCAAGGTGTCGGCTGGATCGTGAAAAACTTCCCTATTGGATGGAAAACCGATTCAATCCCTCCCAAACCACCAAAACGCAAATTCTTGACCAAACAAGAGTGCGATGGAGAGTCAAATAAATAAATAAATAAATAAATAAGGAGGGCAGAGGTGCATTCTCAAGCCAAATGGCCAGGTGGTGTATAAAGATTTGATATCTGTTTTCAAATTATATTCCAAAACACAGCTATGAGAGGGAAATCCCTGCATAGTTTCTTTTCAAAAAAAAAAAAAAAAAAAAAGAACTCATAGGGCGTCTCAATGCTTGTTTCTTGTGGTTTCATATTCACCTTACCTGTAGGTGTTTAGTATACATCAGAAACCCTATTATGCCAGAGAGCCCTTTGTATAAAAGGGCTTGATCAAAGGTAATATAGGGAAACCCAAGGAATTTTGTTTCTAGGGACAGAGAACACCGGACATCGTCCCAGAAAGTGAAAAGGTGTTTCCTCTCTTCTTCTCCACAAGCTGGGCAGAGAGGAGATTCGACAAGACCACATTTGTGGAGATGCTTAGCTAGATAAGCATGTCCAGTAACAATTTGAATTACCTGGCGTAAGTTAGTTCTACTGAGGTGTATGAGTTTACCTGAAAAGTTAAGTGTACTGAGCACCAATTTAGAATGAGCACAGTCTGGTAGTTTAGACCATATATCATCATGTTTGTTCTTTATCCAGCTTCTAACTTCTTTTTTAAAACCGTTTGATATGAAACTGGGTAAAATGGTTCTGGGCCAGACATGGGTAGTTGCGAAGCATCTTTAGCTACTTTATCAGCTAGTTCATTTCCAGCAAAATCACAATGACCTGGGACCCAGACTAAACTAATGGTATTATGGGCCTGAGCCAGAGAATTGAGATCTTGAGTACAGTTCAAAACACAGTTTTGTAACTTGACACGATTAGCCAAGGGCAAAGGATGGCTGAGTGGCTGTCAGAGAGAATACATATATACCTTATCAACTGTATTTTTAGCTAAGAGCTCCCTGGCGACCATATTGATCGCCAGAACATTCGGCTTGGAAAACAGTTGTTAATTTACCAAGGTATAGATGAAATCTAATGAAAATCTTCAGATCCCTTGGTTCTTATAATAGCTCCAGCTCCGATGAAGTTGGATTTTGATCCATCTGTGTAATATTCAATTGATCCTGTTGGAATTAGGTCAAGTTAGAGATTCTATCTCATTCCTTTTTGGTATATGAAGTTGAGAATAGATTTATCCTGGAACTATTGTTTTAGTAATTGCATCTTTGGGCATATAGATTATAGGGATCTCATTGCCCAAGTCCAGACATATGTCAATGGGGCTTTTCAGGTGGCTTTTATGACCAAAACCTGTCCTTTGGCACCATGTGCCATTTTTATTCAATCTATACATGGCTTTAATTGCTTCTCCGCTCAAGAATAATTTCAAGGGTGGAATTTGCAGTAAAAATTCTAATGCAGCAGTAGGGGTACTATTTAAAGCCCCACTAATGCTTAGGCAAGCAAGTCTTTGCACCTTTGTAAAATGTTTTTAAATACGTGCTTTTGTTAATAACATTAATGCAGACCACGCATCCGTAAGAAAGCATTGGCCGGACTATGGCAGTATAAATCCATAGAGTAGATTTTGGGTTAAGGCCCCCATTGTTTACCAACGATTCGCCTACAAAGTACTAGAACATTTGTGGCTGTTTGTGCCTTTCTTTTATATGGGTGATCCATGTAAGTTTACTATCCAGGTAACATCCTAGGTATTTAACGCATTCCTTAAGCCTAATAATCTGGTAACCCAGATATAAATCTGCCATTTTCCATTTCCTTCTCCACGTGAAAACTATGACCTCAGATTTTTCAGCAGAGAAAGAAAGGCCATTTGTATCACCCCAGTGTGAAACTTTATTTAAGATCTGCTGAGCTTGATTATGTAGGGTTCCGATATCGAAACCCTGTAATAACACAATAAGGTCATCTGCATAAGCCAGTGACATGCCAGGTTCCTCCCGTAGAAGTACTAAGAGTGAGTCGAATACCAGGTTCCACAGGAACGGAGAAGAATACCACCCTGCGGACACCCTTTAGTAATATCTCTCTTTACTTCATAGTCAGCGAGACTAACACAGATATTCCTGTTTTTAATCATGAAGATGACCCATCTAGTTATCATAGGGTGAATATGACTTCCAGTAAGGGCCTTATGTATTTTCTCGAAACCGATGTTATCAAAGGCTCCTACAATATCCAGTAGAATCCCAATGGCAAAGTGTCCGTCTATAACTGTTTTTTCTATTCTTCCACACGAGTTTAGTGTAAGGGCCGACTCAGTGGAGAAGCCAGGCCTAAAACCGTGTTGGTTCTGAAGCCAAATGGTATGGTTCAGATTATTATCTGACTGGAGGTGCCATAAAATCAATCGTTCCAACACAGCTTGAGCTGGAAGGATGTTAGCGTGATCATTCTAAAAGAGTTTGGTTTCTCATATGTATCTTTTCTTGGTTTAGGAAGAAACACACCTCGTGAAGTTCTTCAAACCTTAGGAACATATCCTAAAATCAAACTGGACTTCGAATATGTCCACGAGAATGTGAGCCAAAAATATCCCAGCCTTTCTGAAGCAGAATTGGGTAAATTTCCATCGTTCCCTGGAGATTTAAAGGGAAGAAATACATCAAGGGCCGCTTTAGCCTTTTCAAAATTCACAATTGTCTTAGCAAAATCCAGATCTAATGGATTATGAAGTAGTTCCAATGGATTTTCCTGGGGGTCAGAGGTGACACTTTTGTCCCCCAGATGAAAATTCAACATGGTCGAAAGTGTACCAAAGGGTTTATAGTATAACTGCCATCAGGTTGCATAACCGATGAGAGTTGAGACTCCTGAGATCTTTTAAGAATCTTATATACTCTGGCAGTCTCATGGTAGAACAGAATATCTGTGCAGAACGATCTCCATGAGTTGTATTTAATTTTCCTGATTTCACTTTTAAATTTCCTTTGTAGAATTTTGAAGTTAGACCAGTTAACTTCAGATTTATTTCTGACTGCTTTCCTGTGAGCTCTCCGAACCTCTAGGCGGAGGCTTTCAAGCTCCTTGGTCCACCAAACTCTCTTGCTAGGAGAGTACTTCCTTCGTTGAGAGAGGGCATGATGCATGATAAGATTCAATAATGATATTTGTCAAATTGTTTGCTTGAGTATCAAGCTCCTCGACTGTACAATTATTGTCTAAAACCTGAAGGTTAATGACATTAGAAACCAAGAAATCCTTATAAAGGTCCCAATTTGTGTTTTTAATGTTTCTGAAATATTCAGCTGGAATTTCATCTATAATACAAAATTGTATAAGGCGATGGTCAGAAAGTGAGGGATTGTCACTTACATGCCAATTCTCAATAAGGTTATAAATATCAGAAGTTAATGTGAGGTCAATGACTTCTTCTCTTCTTCTGTTAACAAAGGTGGGGCGATTTCCCCTGTTTACCCAAGTTAGGTTGGTATACATTATAAGTTCCATGAGTTTTTCTCCTCTAGGATTAGTATCAGAACTGCCCCATGACAGGTGGTGAGCGTTAACATCACCACCAATAACCATAGGAATATTGTTTATTTCACAGAAACTCACAAGATCTATAAATTCTTGCGGAATGTTAAGGTCATAAGCCATGTAAACCGAGCAAAAACAAATGTTTCCTCTCAGTGAACTGTTTATGTCCTTAATTAAAATAGCAGTTAAGTCCTCTGATGTAAATTGGGATAATTTCATAGCCTTTGTATTTTTAGAAATGTAAATGCTAGTTCTAGGTCTTTTATCAGGTCCCTCTGTCAAAAAGAAGTGCGCGTTCATGGGCCTACCAAGGATTTTACCCTTGTACACCCAAGGTTCTTGAATTAAGGCAACAAAAGTGCCTTGCTTACCTAATTGAGCAGCTAAATTGTATGAAGCTGCTCTGCTATGTTGCAGGTTTAACTGACTAACCTTAACCATTAAAACAGGTTAAATGAGAGAAAAGAACTTACCCTGAAGGATTTTTAGGAGAGACTTAGTTAAAAGCCGCATCCTTAGCATACTACTTCAAAGGAAGTAGTGACAGGGGAAAACTATTCAGATGTCTTCTCCAGAGCCTCCAAAGAAAGCTCTGGTTCCGACTCCTTTTCGGTCTCCCTTTCTTTCGTCAACTGTTTCTTCGGAGGATCCTTGATTTCTCCTGTTGCCTTGGTTCCTTCAGCTGTACACAGCCACGGGCACCACAATAAATTTTGAAATTCTGGGCCTCCAGATAATCCATAAGCTCATGTTCCACTCCCAGCACCAAGGTATTACCTCCGTCTCCAGGGATAATTGCCTTGATGGCGATCTTCTTAACATCCAGGCCCTTGTTACAGGCATCAAGGAGCTTGATGTTATCTTTTGGTGACCTGTTACCAGGAAACCAAGCGAAAAACCTCTTCATGGGGGCTCTGTCTCCGGGAGCCATGGCATGATAACCTGGATGGTTTTCTTCAGGGCCAGGTAGATCATTAATTAAAGTCTTTAGGACGTCCACAGTCTCCTGGTCCTCACATGCAATGTTGAGGCCATTCGGCTGCAGGACTGTCTTGTGGACCCTGCAGGTGGTGATAGAGCCATCGATAATTTGGTCATCAATTATAGAGGTGATGAAATCTGAATCCACCGATGTTATGTCTCTGGAGTCATCCTTGCAGACGATTCGCAGAGTGATTGCCTTTCTTGCAGCTTGACTATATAGCCGTCGTTTCTTGAGGGCCATTTCCGGGGTGTCACCAGTAATGCGTTCTCTCTTACGAGACTCTTCATTGCTTGGATGGTTCTTCCTCACCGGTTTGGAGGTCGCTCCAGAGGTCCCAGCTTTATCTGTTTTCTCTTTCGCTCCCTTCTCCCCAGAGATCGAGATCCCTTCCATGGCCCTCTCCAGCCGTTTCCGCTCTTTCTGGCGTTGCCTTTTTTCTCTTCTTTTATTTACAAACCTCCGTCATTGGTGACTGGTCATCCGCTTGCGCATCTGGCACAGTACTTCTGACAGAGGAGTCAGTATCTATCCCTACTGGGTTCAAGGCGTCCGTGTCCGAAGGCACATTCACCCTTTCACCAGCGGTTCTGGTTTCTGTAGTCCTGAAGAGAAGAGCGTCCGCACCCGAGGGCACATTCACTCCCTCAGAAGGAACTACAGTGGTTATAGTGGGGATTTCAGAAGATGCGTTTTTATCTAATTTTGTATTGCAAGCATCCATTTTGGTATAAGATTGAAAGAAGGGGGAGAAAAATTCCTTCCGATTTTCTAAGAGCCAGTTTGGAGGGGCTAGCCCCAGATTCAGCAGCCAGTAGTGAACCTCGGAAGAGCCCCCCGCTCTGCCATGCAGGACCCCACCCAGGCACCACCTGGAACTACAAGGCAGGCGAGATTATACACCAGCTGAGAGAGCAGCCAGGACATGCTGGTTAGGCTGCCCCGGGCTCCTGTACTATCTGGCGTCCTGAGACGCAAAACTCAGCTTTTCTCCTGTATCCTCTACATGACTGCTTCCTCCAAGACCCCTCCTCTCCAGATCAAAGGTCCTCGGAATTTCAAATCCTCCCCACAATCGTCGGTTTTCCCAGGGAAGAGCGGTCCGTTGGGTCGTCATAAGATTACTCATCATCAGACCGAACCTCATCCCACTAAACCCCAGTATGCCACAGGACTTTGTGACAGTTACCCATTTAGCACCACCCAGGGGGCACGTGTGACTTAAGGATAATCACGGACGCGGGTAACATTACCCCCCGTCCGTACGTATAGATGTCACGCAAAAACATCGTTAAATTGCATTCAATAGCCATCAAAATCGATATTTTCGTTGAAATATGATACCCGAAATTTTTTGTGATTACGATACTTCGTACAAGGAAGTAAAAAGAAACAGTTTTTCACGGACGATTCAGTACCCATTCAATTATTTCAGTTTCACTTCGCGACAAGGCAAAAATACATAAAAACACAAAATATCTATATTAAAAATTACGAAGGAAATCTTAAACACTTATTTCCTGGAATAAATTCCAGAATGGGTTTAGCATGATTTTAATGAGATACATTCCGCAAGAGAAGAAGAGGAAAAATGTGGTCACGTGGTTTAATAACAACAACATCCGCATGTGCTATGTTTACAGTAGAATCGATAGCAGATATTCCGCTGAAATTAATTCATTTTACGAATTTAGAAATTTATAGCTATTAGCGAGAAGTTAAAAAATACGTTTGGAAATGATTTCTCTTTCCTTGATGTCAAAAAGAAGGGTCTTTTGTTATTCAAGGAAAACCAAGTGAACAATATTTGTTTCAAAGTAATACCGGATAGCACGGTACTTATAACAAGCTGTGTTAAGGTCGAAATGAAAAAATCAATTAATTATAAAATATGTGTGCAGATTTCTGCAGAAAACAAGGTAAGATTTATAAATTTTCCTTATGCATGATGCTTACTAGTATTAATAATGTTTTCATTAAGAATATTAAGTGTATATCGGTTACTTGAAAACTATTCCCGAGACCTTGAATAACGTTTTCTAAACTTTTAAATGTAAGTGTAATAATAGCATATTCATAGTTCATAAATAGTTGTTCTAAATTACTGAAATAGTCGAATTCGTGAAAGATCTGTATATCTGCAAGAAAATAAATACAAAGCCAATTTTCGCTTATTAATATTAGTGTCATAGAGTATTTTATGCAGCTAAAATTTTATTAATTTCTTCATGATATGTTTTAATATTTTAGCTGTTGTAATTGATTTTTAATAAATACACATAAATATCGGAATGTTAATTTTTAATACCTTCCATTGTAGATATTAAGGATACCAACAGCTGTAATATTAGAAGCATCAGCAATATTGAAACATTTTAATAAAAAGAATGCTTTTATATAAAAGCATCTTTTTATATTAAAAGAATTTATACTTAATTCTAAATTTTCATAGGAGATTGATGAGTTTTTAGTTTAAATATTAAATTAGCGTGTATATTTAGTCCTTGAAAATCAGTGGTTGTGTCAGTCTACAGTTTGAGAAGCCTATTTCCTATGGTAGATCTATTCAATAAATACACTTGAAAATCTTTTTTGAGCTACATGATTTTAAAATAAAAAATTCTGCACATAAAGTATATAACTTACAAGATTAAAAAAAAAACTTCAAAATTATTTCTTGAATATTTAAAATGTATACAGATCGTACTTTTTTATTATTTATTATTATAAAATGAAGAAAAATTTATTATGAAAAATTATTAGTTTCACAGCTAGTAGTGCAGTGAATTCAGTTGTAGAAATTTCTATATTTTTCTTTTTGACATTTATATTATACTATACAAAATGTGTTAATTTGTAGTATATACTATGAATAGGATAATAGTCAGTTGCTAAAAATTAATTTTTAGGTTGTATAAAATTATATATTAATTTTAAACTGCACAGAACATTGGCATCGTTATTCTTACATGATTTAAGGACTAACTGCATTTACAATGCTCCGGAAATGTGACTATAACGATTTTCAGAAACTAACTATTTATATTTACTGAGCTGATAAAGCTGATAAAATTTAAGCTGATAAAATTTAAGCTTAAGCTGATAAAATTTTGACTTAAAAATATTTTAGTAACTTTCTTTTCGGTGTAGAAGAGCAATCTATGTAAACATGATTTTATGTATTCATTTTTACATTTTTTATAAATGAGTTAATTATCAGATCAAGGAAAGAATTCATAAATAAATATTAACAATCAAAATATGGTAAAGCAGCGAACAAAAGAGTATCATGAAGATAACCATAACATATAAAAGTTACCAAAATTATACTAACCAAATAAATGAACAATTAATTGATGGATGAAATAATAATTGAAGATGAAATGCAAATTTCATAACTAATTAAAAATAAACAGTTTCCGAATTTTCAACACATCTATCACAGCACAAGCTTGTTTGTTAACATTAGCAGTTCTTACATCACGTGACCTCCGAAGTCACCAGAATGTACCTCATTCGCAATAATAAAAGAAGGCGTTACCTTTTTTGTTGAGAAGATTAGTTTCTCTAGATTGGCAACAAATCCACTATTCTGCTAAGTTTCAAATGTAAACAAACATGGCCGCCTTATTAGAAACAATTAGGCTTAGCCGCACTTAAACAACTTTTAAATTGTTGATGATTCTACAAATATTATGTGCAGTTTTACTAAAGGCATAAAAACGTAAACGGAAGATAAGAACAACATAATTCAATCATTTTAAACCAAAGAATGCACAATTTACAAACATATCAGAATAAAGAAACTGTGATCACTGAGCCGAGTAACAGCGTTTTTGGAGAGCTAACTACAATTTATCTTCTTCTCATTTCCTTAATTTTGCAGCATATTGCGCAAAACATTTTTAGACCAAATTGGTCTTTTTATATAGTACTTACTACCTAGCTTTTTTAATTATATATATATATATATAATTATATATATATATATATATATATATCTATTATATATTTATATATATAATATATATATATATATATACTTTTGGAGCTTCCTACATACAAA